AATCTAGGAGGGTTCTATCCCTCTCTATAAAATTGGTAGAGCATGCAGAATTATTTTTCTTACAGAAGAAATAACAATTTATGATTTCATTTAATAAAGAATGAATGATATCCTCCATGGATGATTTCAGAACTCTGAAATACTTGTCTTCAACTTTGATTTTAAGGGCCCAATGAAATGTTAAAGGCAACATAAGCTTCCATAAGTATAATTCAACCAGCTTGTGACAACAAAGGCAGAAGGAAGTATTTCAAACTCTTAGAAGCTGGTATGCTTGGCACACGCTAACTATGCTTATATCCTATGGCTATTAGGCATGGAAACTTTCTATGGAATATCCATTACTCATTCCCTCTGCTCTAAACACATAGCCTGTCAGAAAAATGGTGTGGGGAGGGGTACAGAGGAAGCCAAACTTAAAAAGCAGGAAAAGGCAGAGACAAGTAAATTCATTGAAGATTTACACCACGTTTTCAATGGTTTCTTTCATTTAATTTTCCCTGACTTTTTAAATTAGTAAATATACTGGACCCAGAGGGAAACATATGGAGAAAAGCAGAAAAACAAACAAACAAAAAAACAAAGCAGTGCAAATCTCTGTGTCTTGTACAATAGCCGTTATTTGGTCTTTGCATTTGAGTATCTGAATGAACTGTGGTCTGCTTTTCATTACTCTCCATCTGGAGCTGTTGCCTGCTTTGTTCAGCAATTTCTGGTCATTTTGGCCTGACGGTGACTGTTTTGTTTCATGTTGCCATATTTTACAGAATGAAAACTGCCCCAGCCACCACCCAAGAAAGAACAATCTCGAAGACGAGAAGTTATGTTGAAAAAGTTCTCCATGACCCCTTCCAAAACAGAGAGTGAGTGTGTTTCTCTGGGCCTGCCTACTGTACAGAACTTCAGTGTGTGAGTGGGATACACGGAGGGAACAAAAGCCTTTCTTTCAGATGCTAAGTTAGGGTAAGAGTCTAAGGTTGGGCTAATATATCAAGGTTCATTTTGAGGCTTTTTCTTTTCATCTTCAAGGAGACTAGTGAATGCACTTCCTCACACCTCACTAAATACTAACTTGCATGTAATATACTGCATGTGCAACAGCTCATGAAAAATTGAATTCATATCATATCCTTAAAAACAAAAATAAATCAATCCTGTCTTCCTAAGATTTGGTTTTAATTGCACAGCCTGAGTCTGGAGGCGAAGTTGCAAATGGTTCAGAAGCAAGTGTCTCACAGAAGACCAAATCCAATTTGCATTCTCTAATGACAAGCTCGTGATTTTGTTTGAAAAAGCCACGTCACCCTTTCCATTCCCTTCCGTAAGAAATCCACGGTCAAGAAGAACTCAATTTCTGCCGATTATTTAAGAAAGCAAAACATAATATTCTCTCCCAATTGATTACCATTTTCATCTGACATTATTTTACAAGAAACAAAGAAATATATAGTCATAGGCTCCACATAGTTCATAAAAAGAAGCACCAAAACATAAATATAATAAATATAAGTGAAACCAGATCATTTTTCCAAGAACTGGTTTTGTTTTTGTTTTTTTGTTTTGTTTGTTTGTTTTGTCTGAAAAGACAACAGATTTGGAGAAATGTAAAGTTAATAATAATCCATCACCCATATTCTCACCCCCTTGACATATTTTTTTGTTTAATATTGCCAGTATTTTATACCACAGCTGACACCAGGTGTTGTTGAACGTTATCCATGCACAACTCACTTACCCATCAAATCAGGCCATATTATTACTATTATTATTATTTATATTATTATTATCATTTTATAGATGGGGAAACTGAGGTACCCAGGAATGTTGAGTCATTCACCACAAATCACACAGCTTACTTAGTGGAGAGGCAGTGTTCAAACCAGGAAGTCTGGCTTTACCACAGATGTAACTATAAGCCATACTTACTCTCAAATATTTACCTAGCTCCGTATTTATTTTACACATGACTTTATATTCCTTTATATTCATTTAACCTCCTATAATAAACATGTTCATCATCTGACATAGCTTAGTCTTCTTTCCTGTCATTGCAATGGCCATGTCAGTTGTATATGCTCCATAAGCTAGAATTGGGAGCTTGCCTATATTTGTTCCAATACAGAGAATGAAAGAGTGCTCAGCGTGGGCCTATTTACACATTCTTTAAACATTTGTTTGAATAACATATTTGGGATAACATTCTCAGTGTGATTACTAGAGTCAATAAATGCCTTTTATTGCTCTCTCCACACTGACTTTATAAGAAATCTCTACTAATTTAGGATGATGCCAACAAAGATGAGTGACCTGATGGACAGGAACCAGCCTTGGATGGCCTGCATGAAATAATATTTGCTACCTGAGGGGATATAAACTATCACTGCAAATTACTATAATTTGCATGTTTCTGGTTGTTTCTTGACTCACCCAGAACACACTGCTCCTTTGCAGCCCTTTTAAGTGTTTGTTGGTTTTTGTATTTTGTTTTTCCTTTCTAACATCTCCTCTCCCAATGGATCTATAAGTGCGGAGTTCTCCTTGCTCCTAAGTCCATCTGGTTTTGCTCCTACTTAAAATCTCCAATTTAGAATCTTTCATCATAAAATCTTACAACCAGTGAATCTTCATTTTCACTGTTGTCTATAGACCCCCAGGTATCATTGCTCTTAGCTCTCCACAAATACCTTCTGGATCAATTACTTTCCCCAATACTATTCTGCTTCAGTTCCTGGCTATTTCAATAAATACTTAGATGGTTGTTTCAATGTCTTATTTTATCAGTTCCTTGAACTCCTCAGTGATGTCACATCTTCCTTCCAACCTTAGAAATGCACTCCCCTGGTTATTACTGACAACTATAAACAATTTTCCATAAATATAGTTGCTTCCTCTTCCCAACTGCATGTCTTTTGTACTGGTAACCATTTCAGGGGCCATTTTTCTGAAAGGAATACTCTAAATAGGATTCAGAATATCATTAAAATAATATTTTCCCTCAAACATGAAAGTGACAGTAATACCTTTCTGATCATGAGTGCTTACTTTTAGGATACCCATCTCCATGTATTTGAGGAAGATTATGATTCAGAATCACTACTGTTAATCCACAGGCTCTAAATGTTGAAAAGGTAACTGGAGGGTTTTGTTTGTGTGTGTAGAATGACCACATGTTCACTCCACCTTCTTCATACTGCCCTCAAGGCAAAAGGTCTAATAGCCCTCGGGCTTCCCATAAGGTCATCTTTAGCTACTCTTCTATTAAATGCTTTCCCTAGGAGGTTCCAGGGTCCCTCTCTTCCTCCCTTCCTTTCTCTCTCCCTTTCTTCCATCTTTCCCTCCCTCTTTCATCTCCTTCTGTATCTATCAGTGCTTATTACGAGACTAGTAGTCTCCAAACCACTTTTTAAATTCATATTACAATGAATAAAAATATTTGTATTAGCAAACCCAAAATTCATTTGTATGTTTAAAACATATGCATTTGTAAAATTTCACTAATATGTTCTAAATCACACACAGGAGGTTGATATAAAAACAAAGAGAGGTAAGTTCTAATATTTTCTTCTAGCATCCCCAACAGATAGTCAAGCATTCCCCTGCAATACCTCACTTTGAAGGTAATCTTTCTAGGTTACACAGGTCCTGTCTTCATTGAATCTAAGTCTCTTTGGAGAGAGAGAGAGAGAGAATTAAATAAGCGATTACAAGAAAATGTGGATTGGGGTGTTAGGAGTTTCTTCTATTCCAGCTATGTGGGTCTGCTCAATTACATCCTAAAATTCTTTCTCCCAGACCTTTCCCAAGCTCATCCATTCTGACTTGCCTTTATAAACTTCATTCCCCCAAAAGAAATCTTCATCTTCTCCTCTCACAGTGTTTTGTGCGTATCTCTATTATGGATATCCAGGTTACACTTTCACATGTATTAGGCCAATAACATTGATCCTAGTAAGCATGTTAGGATTAGTTTCTTGGTTTTCTCTTTGGTTTCCTTTTCAAACTGAACAATTAGATGACAGGAACCTGTCTTATTATTTTTTGGCTTGTAGTACCTAAATACCTAGTGCATTTGTGAGATTTTAGGAGACGTGCAATGTTTTTGTTTTTTGTTTTTTTTTTTTATGGCTGAATAGAACCTGACTACCGTTACCCAAGTAGGCTAGGATATATTTTCAGTATATGAGTGTCTGTTCCTAAAACATATGCACATTATATCTGTATGTGAAATAGGGGCAGTATTTAGAATGATCTTGGCTCTACCATACTTCTTGATGTCAGTATTACAAAAAAGGCTGGATTACAGGAACAACAAATAACATATGTTACAAGAAGCATTCCAATTTTCTAGTAAGAACTGAGTCATGCAAGAGAGACCATACAGATTTCACAAATAATATATAACGCAACCCTTGAAAGAGTATGGGATTCCCAGACATGAAGAAACATGAGTCACAGATATAGTCAAATAACTTCAGACATGTTTCCAGGGGGAAGCAAACAAACAAAAAAAAAGCCTTAATAAGATACCAACTCGGATCCCAAGAGATGCTGACAGCAGAAGCTTAGACACAATGGGCCCATCCATAAATTAATTCCTAGTCAACCCATGTTGCGAAAGCTTTAAAGAACAGAGAAAATGTGCTTTGCATGGGGAACTTTTCCCCAGAGTTCCTCATTTTTATATAGGAAATCAATTTGCATCACTGATGATATCATTCAAATCAGACAACCCAAAGTTATTAAGAGGTAATTTAGTTTTACGCTGAAGCAATTTGATACTTGTTCTGATTTGTGATTTTCATTTTGTTTGTTAATGAAAAAAATTAATGAACAATGTTACTAGAAATACAACTCATCAAAGCCTCAGCATTATTAAAGAGGTTTGCCATATATTGTACATCGTGATCATTGTGCAGTTGGTGCCTGGACATCTACCTTGGAGGAGCCATCAATCCAACAGCCTAGGCAAAAGGCCATGGTACAGATGCCCTTACACATACCTTTGCACTGATTTGTGTTTTTGTCCAGAATTGCCTTTGTGGATACAATTTTTCCATACCTGAAAGAGAGAGAGGGAAAAATCCATGTTATTATAGCCCAATGAAGATGCTTAAAATACCTTAATGAACATTGGTACACACACATTTGAGCAGGCATAAACTAAGAAAACAAGCTCTGTACTCCCATTTCACACCTGGATGATCACTTTTCACCAGTTCTTCTTTATAACTCGAGAATGTACTTCCTTCCCTACATAACCACTGGGTTGAGCCTTCAAAAATAGACCTGTCAGGCTGTCATAGGTGGCTGAAAGGGGGTTGTGTGTGATTGTGATCAAAGTAAATCATACTGTGGATTGCTGGAGAAAGCACAGACCTTGGCGCCAGGGATGAACAGGGCTTACATCCAGCTCTGGCGCTGACCTAGTGTTGCAATGCTGAGCAGTCTAACACAACTTCTCCAAAACTATTTTTTTCATCTGTAAAAAATGAGAATTGTAGTAATTCCCTTTTAGGATTTGGGAGAGGGTTAAATTGAAATATTAAGATTTCCTAGCAGTGCTCCTAAGATAAATAGGGTTTTTTTGTTTTTGTTTTGTTTTTTTTTCTGCTATTAAATACATACTGTAAGTTAATTGAGGATAAGGACTGAGTTTTGTATTCTCAATGCCTGCCACCATATGTAATAGGAACTCAATCAGTGTTTGCTATAAATAAATGAACGATACAAGTAATCCAATGGTACTTCATCTACATTGAAGTTTCTACCATAAACACATATAAGTATATTCATTATTTTATCATATCTTGCAGAAGACCTAGTCTAGGTTTTGTTTTTTAAAAGATGGGTAATATGGAGAATGAAACTCAATCTCTTTAAGCCTGTTTCCTGAGGTATAAATGATAGGACTGAAGAAGATAATTTCTAAAACCCTGTCCTTCTTTAGGATTCCATGAAGGATGCTCCTGAATCATCATAACATGGAGAAATTATAATGCAAATTTAAGTGCCAAGTTTACTAACAACTCATACTTATGTTCGAGATTTCAGCCATGTTACAACATGTTTGGCAAGTTTTCTTTTAATTCTGTTTTCCTAACCAAGTGTGAGTATATATGACAAATAGTAAATATTCCATGTCAGAATAAACTAGGTTCCTTATCACCACTGTTTCTTTTGCATTTACAATACCCTCTTATTATATCATTAATTCTTTGGAGCATTTTGGTGGTCATTTATTAATATTCTAGGGTTGATAATGTCATTGTGCTAGAAATGCCTTTGCCTCTTTTCTTTTTTTCCCCCAGATGTTTATGGCTTGTTTTTGTTTTTGTTTGGCAAAATTCAACATCTATTCATGATAAAGACTCTCAGTAAAATAAAAATTAAGATTGCCACTGTAGATTCTTTGTAAGTGTCCTTCATTGGGTTGAAAATCTTAATTAATTAATTAATTAATTAATCAATTTTTTTGAGAGAGAGAGAGAGCACCCCTGGGCCGGGGTGGGGAGGGGTAGAGGGAGAGGGAGAAAGAAAATCTCAAGTAGACTCCATGCCCAGCACAGAGCCCCAACAACAACTTGATCTCATGACCCTAAGATCATGACTTGAGCCAAAATCAAGAGTCAGACACTCAACTGACTGAGCCACCCAGGCACCTCTCAGATGGTTTGACCAAGGATGGACAGAGGGTCCTCTAGAAATTCATGGAATTCATGTCATTATGAAAATAATAGCACCAATAGCTTTGAAAATCATTATGAGCTGACCTATCAATAGGTCACAATAGGAACTAGAATATTTGTATATACTTAGATGAAGGGGTCTGAGATAATTCCCACAAGTCACCTACATGCCCCTTGCTAAAGTCAGCCAGAACTGAGATGAAGCTATCCAAAACTGAATTGAGTATATTTTGCCAGCATAATCCTGACCTTTCAGCCGCTTGCGTCCCTGGTACCACTGCATTTTCTACACCATTATAACTATAACTCTATAGTTAAATAAATCAGAGAGAACTAGGGCTGAAAGTGTCTACTATCATTTTGCAAATGTAGAAAGTGTAATCTAAGAGATCAGTAATTTGATCAAAATCACATAATTTGTGAAAGTTATAGGAGGGACCGGAATATGGGATTTTTAAGATTGGTACAGTGCTTAACCATTATACCAACTGCCTCCAAAACGGAGAAGCTAAATATATCAACTCTTCTACTTTAATCAATCTTCATGTCTTTAGGAATTCAGGTATTCAACTCCAGGGCAATATAGTATAATGGTGAAAAGAATACACTATGACAACAAACTGTCATGGCTCAAATCTCGATTCAGCCTGGGTATATTTGGTTGGCTAAGTAAGCCTTATATGTCCTTTGTATCATCTCACCATCTATAATTACATAAATCCATTTATTTAAATATTCATTTAGATTATTATCTATTTAAAATTATATACCTCTATGTACAAATATACAAAATGATAATAATCTCTACCTCATAGGGTTGTTTTGAGGGTTAAGTGGGGTTTACTGCAATGATAACAGTGGCTGGCATAGAATAAGTGCTCATTAAATATTAGCTCTTTTTGTGATTATTTCCTTCCTGTTATCTGCTATATAAAAATGTCTCTAGTCCTTGGCATTCTCTGAGGTGGTTAAGAAGTGGAAGGGGGTAAAGTCCTGTCCCAAAGGACAGTTTAAAACATTAATACTTAGACTGTTTAATCTTCCACTAAGAAATTTGGAAGGATAATTTACATTTACCACTTATATTGTTATTTTTAATGGTAGGGATTACATTAACTATGTTGTCACTGTACTTAACCATACAAATACCCATAGGTTCAAATCTTTTGTTTGTATGTTTGTTAGGTACTACTGAAACGTCTATTACCTCATGCCTATTTTTATACAAGCCCACTTCCTCCAAAATTTGTCATCCCCCAACATCCCCGTTCCAACAAACACATACAGACTCTCCTTCAAGCTCTATCTCATCCTAAGAGTTTCTCTTTTATGAAAAGAACCAGTAAAATACTATAATATTTGCACAGTCTCTTCAGTCTACAGTGGTTCAAAGTATCTGTAACTGTACCTTTTTTTTAAGATTTATTTCTTTTAGAGAGAGAGAGAACATGAGCATAGGGAAGGGCAGAGGAAGAGGGAGAGAGAGAATCTCAAGCAGACTCCACACTGAGTGCAGATTTCCCCACACAGGGCTGGATCATGCAACCCTGAGATCATGACCTGAGCCAAAATCAAGAGTTGGTTGCCCAACTGACTGAGCCACCCAGCCACTCCTCTATAATTGTACCTATTAACGACAGTAATGTCTGCTAGATTTGGGCTATTCAGGCACGTAAACATTTGCAAGACTATATATCTTAGTGTAGAAAACAAAAAGGGAGAAGAAAGGGAACATTTGCTGAAACTTTTTTTCCACACAAAGCACTATTTAATACAGTATGGGAGAAGTAAAAACTAGAGGAAGAAAAAGAATTTAGAACATTTATAACCATCTAACATCAGGCACACAAACCCTTAAGACAAAAATCCTTCTTAATTGTTTTCTAAAGCTACTCTTGAAAATTTTATATATAAGTACCTTCCAAATTAAAATTTAGCTCTCTTTTACAGAGGAAATTAAAAATTACTGTATCTCATAGTGAATTAGATCTCCCAATGGGACTTTTGGCCTATGGTGTGCCAATATTACTAGGATGTCTTTCTTTTCCTTCATTAAATGTAGTATATGTAAAAAAAAAAAAAAAAAATAGCTGTCATTTCATTACAGCCAAAAAGAAAAAGGAAAGGAAGGAAATGCTTTCTTATGGAAAGCATTTGTAAATATTTTGGCAAGCAACTTTTTTCTAAAACGAAATATTATGTCCCAGGAAGCATTATAATGCTACTGTGAGTGGAAAATCACTCATCACATATACACACACACACCAAAAAGCAAATTATGCTATTTCTTGATTTCCCCTTTACTAATTACACTCTAGGCAAGGCTTTCCAATAGTGCCGATCACGAAACAATGGAACACAACTGAGAGTACCTGACTTAGCCACTAGTGTGACTAGAGTTAAAGGAATTTGATTCTTTGGCTCAGTTACAGTATTTTGCACTAACAATTATTTCACAAAGCTGTGATATGCTTTAAACAACAAGGGAAGGTATTTAATGGGCCATTGGTTCCAGTTCACGTTTGAACTCTCCCAGTGACAAACAGGTACTTTCTGCATGACTGGTGCTGTATTCTCCATGCTCTGCAAAGTCAACATCTGATGGAGGTAAATAAAGGTTAGGCTTTTTTTTTTTTTTTAAGATCCAAACCACCACAAACAGAAAAGCCACCTATGTCATCTGCCTGTGAAGAATTATATCAAATCTTTCTTCCCGATGTTTTGTCAAAGTATCCTAATGGACTAGAGGAAAAACTACTATACAGGCTAACGACACATTTTTATACATTCTAGAGAAAAAATACTTCTGAAGCAAAGATATTTCCAAACATAAGTTATCTCACTTCTTCACTCTCCCCCTTCTTTGGGTTTAGAGCAAGACTGTAAGTATTCATAAAGTTTTTCTTTATGACACCCATGAGTAGAAAGCAAAATCTGAAAATGGTCACAAAATATGCGATCAGATAATTTCAGGATGATGCCTGGAAACGGACATCTGAGCTCTCGTGCCATGTGCTTCTGGCTCCAGAAGCTTCCAGACAAACACAATTCACTTTTCTATGCTTTCATTTCATACAGCTAGAAGAGATACAGGATTTTACACAGTCAACTTCCTCCAGGGGGGTTCAACTTCTTGGGGGAAACAAATAAATGAACACATTTAGTATCCTGATTCTTACATTCAGCACCTTCTCTAAGCCACTGTGAGAAGCCCCTAATTCACATTGCTAGGATGCATTTAGACATAAAAATATGCGACTCCACATAATACCTGCATATTCACCAGCTATCCAGAGGGCCAGTGCATTCTCCAAATGCAGCCAGGTCCCAAATAACATTTTCTTTCCATTCTAAGAGCACTCTGTAAAACAGT